GGCGTTTGGGATATGCACGCTTAGAACAAAAAATAGTAAGTATATATAAATGCTTTAAAATGATATAGTTACCAAAAATATAAGTATATATAATAGGATATGAATGATTTATTATCCGTCTTAATGCGTAGTTAGAAGAGGAGAAAAGTGATACGACATCTCTTCCAGACCATGTTGTGTGGAAGGCTGCCCGTGTGAGAAGAGATGGAGTCGTTCAGGAAGAAGTTCAACAAGTATTTGAAAAATGTGTAAGTACAACATTAGTTTTGTCAGTAACTGATCAAAAGTGTATAATAAATTTATATATTCTTTTATCTATATTTCAGGAGACTCTATCCCAGAGTATAACTCTAGGTGAGGACGATGATTGCAGGAGCATACTGAGTCGAGTGTTAAATATCCCTGAGTATTCTGGGCGTGTGAGGGGTAAGGGATTTGGTGTCACTCCATCAAAACTGTATAAGCAGCCAAAGAAAAAAAATCCTAGCAATAAAGAAGTGATGGATACGTTGGAGGAATTGAAAGCGCATATTCGTGAATTACAGAAGGACAAAGAAAGATACATGTCGGAAAGGCGTGGTCCAGAGGGTAAAGATACTAGTGACAAAGATAGTATCAATTGTCCGCAGAAGCTTCCAGAGGTAATTGTATATATTACATTGAAATTAATTTAGCAAAATTTTCTTAATTGACACATTAATCGGCATCATTATTTGTTTTGGGAATTTCACCTTGTCGGCTATATTTATCGTCACCGACTTATCGCATGGTTGGCAAAGGAAAGGTGCATAACACTGTGGGAGCCTTACTTCACCATAAACCGCTCCCTACTGGATTTTTGAAAGTATTAGTTGATATTGCGTTAGAGGGGGTGCGTTGTGGCCTATACCAGATGATGTTTCAGACGCAACAGTTGTGGGAGACGCAATAGAAGCGTATGTTGCATGGCCGACAAATCTCATTTTCATAGATGATGAGGTATGTTGAACAGCATTATGAACCTTGTAATATTCAAATGTTTTACGACCCATAGATGAAAGTTATTCTTACATTTACATTTTCTTATTTACATGATGGTCTTAGACTCCTACAAAATCCAAATCAAAAGATAAGGGAATCATTGTGCGGGAAACCGATACAGCTGCATCAAAGAATCATGTACTACTACAGTTACATGATTATCTTATTATACATTAATTACTGAACTTATATGACTTTTAGGTTCATGATCAACAGTTGCAACAAGTCAGTAAGGGTAAGATGCCTGAATCTTCCAAGTTGCCCAACAAGAAAAAGGTCGAATAAAAAAAAGTATCTGTTCCTCGATTTAGGTTGTGCCTTGAAACATATGTAGGAACATCATATGTGAATGAGGGTGGCATCCATCAAATACCTATGGAAGAAGGTTTTGAATATACCGAAACAATTGCTAAGGAGGATTTGGACTAGATTTTCCAACATTTTGAATTGGGCATCGGTGTTATCCATTCCTACATCAGGTACTCCGATCCATTTTAATTAAATAATTGAACATTTTGAAATTTACCCATTTAACTGAATATTCTAATGTTGATTATGTTTTTCTTTTAGGCTCTTGTATGACAAGTTGTTGGTCCCGCATGATTTGACTTCAATATTCACATTCTTATCTGCTAGCTGTATCAACTCACGGTCAATAGATCACACACCAGATGTAGTCAAAGATTACATAGTCCAAAGATTTATGGCCGCAACTACAGAGAAGTTGTTCTCGTTGCCATATAATACTGGTCATGGGTATGACTTCATTCTAAACTCATTTATTATAATTATTCGATTTTTGCCATTCTATATAACATTCCCGTATAAATCGTTGTCTTATTTATAGTGGACACTGGTTGGTGATCGCGATTAATCCGATGAAAGAAATAGTGTATTATCTGGATTCATTGGATGACGATCAAACAAAATATCATGATATGAAGAATATGATTGATACGTAAGTGATGAGATATACTGTTCTGAATAATTATATATCTTTATTTATTATGTGACATTGTTCTAAATATGCGTTTATATTATGTTAGAGTTATACAAATATTCAGAGCACAAAGACAAGCAACAGTGCCAAAAAGCAAGGCTAACAACATTAGCTGGATCAGAGTGTATGTATATTTTCCCATTTTTGACTGTTATAGTGGTCCTACTTGATAAAACTATTTAAACTATATATCCTGATAAATGTTCGTTTGTTTTTCCCATTTACAGTGTCCTCGTCAGCGTAATGGGATTGACTGCGGATATTTTGTATTGCGCTTTATGAAGGAAATTATTCATTCTGGTCAAATAGAGATTCCAATCATGGTATGGATCAATTCATAAATTATATGATTCATTTTGATAATTAACCGATGTTTCATCTGAGTAATTAGTTTTAAAACTAAATCATGCATGTTCTGTTATATTATGTAGTACTTTGATGAATTCAAGTGCGGTACTTACTCGAAAGCAGGATTGGAGGAAATAAAAGAGGACTGTTGTCAATTTATTCTTGAGTTGAGAATTGTATAATTGTATAAGTCATATCTATTTGTAAAGTTAACAGATTTGTAATTATATGTAAATTGACTGTATTTGTGATGTTGTAGTTCTGAGGATCAGATTGTGTTGTAATATATTTAAGCATGTTTATGTGTATTAAAATGATTATGGACAAACTGATGAATATATTACACTTAAAGGCCAAAGTGTTGAAATAAAGACCTGAATTATAAGCAGGGAATGTAATATAAGCAGGTTTATTGAAAAATATATAAAAAATGTGATTATTTAAAAAAAAAAGAATTTTAAAATCGTGAACATTAGACAACGCTTTTACAAAAAAGCGCTGCTAAAGGAGACATAGAGAGCGCTAAAAAAGCGCTGCTATAGGTGGGGAAAAGGGGGGGGGGGAGGGTCTAAGAAAGCACTTTATAAAAGCGTTGCTAAAGGGGGGGTCTAAGAAAGCGCTTTAAAAAAGCGCTGCTAAAGGGGGGTCTAAGAAAGCGCTTTCTAAAAGTGCTGCTAAAGGGGGGAGGGGGGAATACGCAACGCTTTTATAAGCGCTGCTATAGGGGTAAAAAAAGTGCTGATAAAGGGAGCCTTTAACAACACTTTTTCAATAAAAAAAACGTTGTCTTTACCTTTAGCAGCGCCACTTTAGACAGCGCTTTTAAGCGCTGCTAAAGGTCTTTTTTTGGCATAGTAAAAATATATATACTTAAACGTAATATGGAAAAAATGTGTTATTTTTTTAATTATTTATATTACTAATAAAGAAATAAATGAGATAAGTATTTATAAGTAAAACGGTACTAGACAAAAAATCATAAGTAATGTATGAATTAAATGAAATTAAAATTGTATGTTAATATAAACAATTCATTATTATTTTATGATCACCAAAACAAAGGAAATAAAAATAATAATAATAATAATAAAAGAAAATATATTTTAAATAATGTATGAATCCGAACATGAGAAAAATATATTTATTCTTGTTAATAATATTTATTTATATAATTAAAATAATATTTTTAAATACTATGATATTAGTTCATTTTTATAAAACTAAATGATTGCATAATATATTTTTATAAATAATGTCAAAACAAATTTAATATTTACATACGGGAAAATATATGGTTGATCCAAATATTTGTATATACGGAAAAATAATACTTTTAAAAATAATAAACTTTCTTGATTAAACAATTTTGTCTTTCTATTTTTTTAAATTTTTATTACATTTTTGAAACAAATGTGTGTAACACATTATTATACATAGGAACGGACGAGTATCTAGATCAAAATTCGTGCTAACCCACGAGTTATTATATATATATTTTTATAATTAAAGAAAATAAAAATAAATATATCTTAAGTAATGTTTGAATCCAAATACGTGTTAAATATATTAATTTATGTTATTAATATTTACTATTTAATTAAAATAATATTTTTAAGGCTTAATTACAGTTTTGATCCCCTTATTTTATTTGACTCACGAAATTGGTCCTCCTATTTTAAATTTAAACAGTTTTGATCTCTCTATTTTAAGTTTAATCCGTTTTGATCCCTTCTCATATTTTTAAACTTAAAGTTAACCATATTTTTATTTTTTAAATGACAATTTACCTGAAAAACATAATAAATTATCAAATATAAATCTATTATTGAACTTTGTAGATAAAAATATAAGTAAAAAAAATGAAATTTTCATCAAATTTCTATGAAAAAATTAAAGAGAGGGACTAAAACTATTTAAATTTAAAATAAAGAAATTAAAACTGTTTAAATTTAAAATAGAAGAACTAATTTTGTGAATCAGACAAAATAAAAGGATTAAAATTATAATTTAGCCTATTTTTAAATTATATGTTATTAGTTGATATCTATAAAGCTATATGTTTATATAATTTTTTTTATAAATAATGTAAAACAAATTTAATTTTTGTCTACTATAAATTATACAGTTAAATCTAAATATTTATATGAAACAATTATATTTATGTTACAAATAAATTTTCTTAGTTAAATAAATTTATTTTTTTATTTTTTATTTTTATTATATTTTTGAAATAAATGCGCCTAATAATTTTGATAAAATAACTATTTTTATTATATTTTCCAAATTTCAATGACAAAACGGGCATGCATCTACAAAATCCAACTTGGCAAAACATGATTGGTTAAAACAACCAAAGGTTGAAGATGATTGGTTAATTTCGCAACGAACACGTTGCAAAGCGTAGACTCGACTCCATGAGTCAAGTCTTCGGGGAATCACTTCCATGCCTGTCACTGTAAAAGCTCCGTCGTAACTGAACAACCGATTCCATAACACATTCATAACACATTTTGTTTTTCATCCCAAACCCTAAATTGCAACGAGATCCGAATAGTAGAGTCGTAAGATTACGTTTCGGAGAGATCCAATAGTAGAGTCGTAAGATTACGTTTCGGAGAGATCCGAATCTTCAATGGCGCATCGAAGAGCCAAATTGCTGTTCCTTCTCTGCGCTCTCTGCTATTCTCTCAACGCCTTTGCCGCGTAAGTTATCTGTTTTCGGTTTCTTTTTTTGCGGTTTTCTTGGAAAATTCTGATTCCACATTTGTTTGTTTGATGTTTTGTATGCAGAAAGAGCTATTACGATATACTTCAAGTGTCAAAGGGCGCGGGGGATGATCAGATTAAGAGAGCGTATAGGAAGCTTGCATTGAAGTATCATCCTGATAAGAATCAGGGAAATGAAGAAGCTAATAAGAAATTCGCGGAGATTAACAATGGTATTCTATATATGTATACATGTATAAACGCTTTTGTTTGTTTTTATTTGGTATTTTCATGACCTAGTTTGTGTGTTGCTATGTGATATTTAGATATGTGTGGGTAAACAACTTAATTTAACTAGGTGATTATAATTATTATAAGATAAACGTGGTTATGTATAAGTTATTTTTTATAACAAATCATAAAATAAAGTGAAGCTGATTTTTTTATATGTTATAAACTATTTTCAGAAGCTATCATTGAGGGCTTATGATTATGTCATAAGTGGTCTGTATAAGCCTTCTAAATTAGTCTCACAAATGTGTATGTAGGTAGATTAGTTCAAATAAGTCAATTTATGCTGTTCTTTATTTTGGTTATTAATGGTTGCTTTTCATTGTTGCCTCTGCCAGCATATGAAGTGTTGTCAGATAGTGAGAAGAGAAATATTTATGATAAGTATGGTGAAGAGGGTTTGAAGCAGCATGCTGCTGGTGGAGGAAGAGGTGGTGGGATGAACATGCAGGATATTTTTAACTCGTAAGATTCATCACCTTAGATTTTGCTACATTAGTAATTATCCTATCACTTATCGATATTGTATTTAAGATATGTTTTCTCGGAGTAATTAGTGTATCTTCACTTGACCTTTTTTTACTTGCATTGGTATATGGAAACAAAAAATCAAATAATACATCTTTATGAACAAGAGAAACAATTATAGAAGGCTATACAGGTTTTATGTTATTATACATACTTGCATACTCTAGTCGGAAACTTCATATGGTTTTATTGATTTCCTTATGTCAGCAACAATTTTTATGATGCCACAAGTTTCAATCTAGCCATTGATTTGCAAGCAAAGATTATGCTGCCTTATGTAGTTGGACGGCTATGTTCTTGATGTGTATTTGTATTTATAAAGCTATACTTATATGTTTAACTTATAATGTGGGGCCAGCTTTGAACTTGTTTTTAGTAGTGACACTGATATATGAATGTGTCTTTCAGTTTCTTTGGCGGGGGATCAATGGAGGAAGAAGAAAAAATTGTGAAAGGTGATGATGTTATTGTTGATTTGGACGCGACCCTCGAAGATTTGTACATGGGTGGTTCATTGAAGGTGAGGTCACATTTAATCTAGCCATGCTCTGAGTTCTAGCAATAAATCTATATTTTCACCAACGTGCAATGTCTTTGTGCTGTATTATCATGCTATTTAAAAATTTCTGCAACATTTTATTTGAGTAATATACTAAATGTGCATTGGATAAATTCTCAAGATTAACACACTGCTTTTCATGTGACACATGGTAATGTAACGGAAAAATCATTTTCATTTAGCTACTTCAACCAATAGAAAATCAGAAATAAAATTAAAGCGACTTAGAAGAACTACTTTAGGGGCTGACTAAGATGCAGAACTTACATCAACCTGGGCCTCATCCATCTAAATACAAATATAACACATTCGACACACATATGACATCATGTATTCCTGGAGGCTGTTCTTTTTTCCCCTTTCAATCTATTTCAGATGCTTTAGTTTGTATTCTATAGTTACATATTTGCATTGAGGAAACACTAGCCACTATTTAGGCATTATCATGGTGTAGTTGTAAACTACATGGTTATGCCTCTGATGACTTATGAGCTCGTCATTAATTTTGGTTGTAATGATCTGAAATGTAGAATTTGCAAGTCATTTATTGATTGCTTCTTTGTGATGATGGTGTTGTAATTACCAGGTATGGAGGGAGAAAAATGTTGTGAAGCCAGCACCTGGGAAAAGACGCTGTAACTGCAGAAATGAGGTTTATCACAGGCAAATTGGACCTGGGATGTTTCAACAGATGACAGAGCAGGTAAAAGCATAGCTGAGGATGTTGATAGAAAAAATGTTTCAGTTTATTCTAGTCCACATTTTAGAGTGTATATTTAATACTGCAAACACACTGACTTCTAGTGTCAATGTTTCGTGACATTTTATTGTATGACTATGGAAATGTTTACATTATATAATCATACTGACAATTTCTTTTTCCTTATGTGTTGGAGGGGATTGTGGTGTGGAGATTTATTTTAATCTCGTTCTTTACATTTACGAAACTTTTAACTTCTATTTCTGATATCTATCTATCCAGGTCTGTGACCAATGTGCTAATGTGAAATATGTAAGGGAGGGATATTTCGTTACAGTAGATATTGAGAAAGGCATGCAAGATGGCCAGGTAAACATTTAAAGTTTGTACATATGCTTTAGTGGATTATGTAAGTATGCATAATATCATGTTTCACTACCCATTTTATTTTAAGCTCTACACTTAGAAGCATGTCTAATTACGTGGACATAAATTATAAAGACGATTTGCATAAGTCCATGTCAAGTAGTATGAGATGCACGGTGGAGTACTTAAATATCTTGGTTTCTCCCCTATGATAGTCAGCTTTTAAGGGAGCTTCTCCAACTGTTTTTCAAATGGTATCTGGGTAGGTTGCTCATGTCTTAGAAAAGACTACATATATACTGTGATCGGAAAAATTGAATGTAGCGCTGTATAGTGCAGCCACTGAGACGTGTGCTGTTAAGAGTAGTGCTATGATAGGGTCTTAGATACGATGTAGTACTTAAGTTCCACTTCAAATAATGTGAGATGCTTGGTGGAGTACTCAAGTGACCTTGTTTTTCCTCTTGATATCTAGCTTTTATTGGAGGGTTCCTCCTTGTTGGATCAACTTATTTTGGTTCAGATCAAATAAGCGCATCTTATACATATATTGAATTTGAACCTTTTATTGATATTAGGTTTTCTAAGATGATCAATAGATGCATTTTATCGTCATTTTTTAGTGTTAATGTTCAAGGATCTTAGAGCTATAGTAAAAGCTGAAGAAATTATTCTAGTTTGGTTAAGCATCAAGCACAGCCTTTAAATAGTTGGTGGCTTCAGTTGTGAGAGTCATCATGGAATATATTTGAGAATTAAAAATATGTAGATGAATTTTTTAAGATTTCAAAGATCTAGATTTAAATAGTTTGTCATTTGATTTGATTCACAATAAGACATTGTGATATCGTTTGATGCTTGCAAATAATTCTATCAAATGGGCAAGGTTTATTGTCAATGTTGCTAGACATGGTAGATAAAGTTTCAATTTTAAGGGCGTGCCTGGTTATAGTGAAAATTAGCTTATGCAAATATTAGATTGTTGAAAATAGACCCTTGTTTTAACTTAAGTTCCGATTTCCAAACAATGTAGAGGAGTGAAAACCATAATCAGTTGAATATGCCTCACCATTTTCTGTACCCTTGATCTATTTCCCGTCTTTCTTATCAACAATGTTCAAGGGTTATATTCCAATTGAATGATGACAAATGCTTAATGTTACGAAAGCAAGGCAAATGTAACAAACGAAATGCACTCATGTTAACAAATGCTTAATGTTACGAAATCAAGGCAAATGTAACAGACGAAATGCACTCAGGTTAACTTGTTATTACCATTTGTCCATTATACATTCTATAATTTACCATACTACCTGTGTATGGCTAGGTTTTTCTACAGTTGTCCCATTTTGTGAAATAACACATCGTACTATATAGCATGGTTTTTCTACAGTTGTCCCATTTTGTGAAATAACACATCGTACTATATAGCATAACTCTTGAATGACATGCACACATGATGATTTATAAATGCTTGATGAAAATGTACAATTTTTTCCAAATTGAAAATTGACTTGAATGCTGACTAAGGCAAATTTTTGTCCTTTTACAGGAGGTGCTATTTTATGAGGACGGTGAGCCCATAATTGATGGAGAATCCGGAGATTTAAGGGTTAGTGGCATTGTTTTTCATTTTTGTTGGTAGTAATTGTTTAGTATGCATGTTGTTGATGTGCAGTTTGCTGACAATCCATATGTTAATTTGAACAGTTTCGTATCCGTACTGCACCTCATGATCTTTTCAAAAGGGAAGGCAATGACTTACACACCACCGTCACTATAACTCTGGTAAGTATAAGCGTTATTTTAATTGTATCATACCTTTTGGATAACATTTTATGTCTGTAAGTTGTAATCTAACCACGATTCTAGTAATAAGTATCAGCTACTAGTAACTAGCACGAAAGAGTTGAAATATGACATTTGTTGATTATGCAAACTATTAACTGCTCTGATATTTGTATCCTAAAATTCTGAGCAACATAAAGTTTAATAACCTTAATCTTCTTTAGGTTCAAGCCCTTGTTGGTTTTGAGAAGACAGTCAAACACCTTGATGAACATCTGGTGGACATAAGCGCAAAGGTGAGCATGAAATAACTCCTTTGCAGATCTTAATTGGTGTTGATCTCCCCCACCCAAAAACATTAAAACACAAATCCACACCAGCACATGAGGCACACAACTAACTTACTTATTTTGACCCCTCAGGGAATCACAAATCCAAAACAAGTACGGAAGTTCAAAGGAGAGGGTATGCCATTGCATATGAGCACGAAGAAAGGAGATCTTTACGTCACATTTGAGGTTCTGTTCCCCACCTCACTAACAGAGGAACAAAAAACAAGTATAAAAACAATTCTTGGTTAGAATACATTAAGGATAAGTGCTATTTTCGCTTATTATGTCCTCAATATAATATGAGTAGGAGGTTTTGTTGTTAGTTACAGCAAACACATGCCTTGAGCCACTATTTTTTGTTAGTTAACAAATAGATACCTTGTTTAGCTATTTTTGTTGTTGATAGTGATGTATCACCTATGATCCTTGTCATTCCATGACTGTGCCTTATTATGGTGCTATTTCGATACAAGGACACTAGCTGAAAGAAAAACACACACGTATTAGTTTTCTTTGTGTTTGCAATGGTTCATTATGTAAGCAAGGTGTAAGGCAGCTGATACAAAAAATTATTCAAAGCAAATGAAGAAAGACATGTTTACCGTTTTATTTAAATCAAATCCCAGTGTTAGTCTAAGGAGCAATAGTAATAGTAATCAAGTTCAATTTGTGACAAATAATATTCCTAGTATATATTTATTCAAAATTATGTTTCTTTTCTTTAACTCACATTTGTAAATACAATGTTTTTAGTTTGTTTGAATCTGCGTCTGAGTATATTCTTGCGTCCAAGACAAAATGGCTGTGATAATTGTTAAGCTAAAATCTTGTGGCTTATTTGACTTGCGGTGTGGTTGTATTTTCTCAATATCAAACACCTTAATCTTTTTTTTCCTAACTCAATAGTTGCTCAAATTTCTGTTTTCTAAAAACAAGTGCAACGCTCGTGTAATGTGATTGATTCATATAGTTAAATCAATCACAATTTTGGTTGTAAATTGAATTAATTATATTTTTAAATGTAATTAACTATATATTGTAGGAATGTACGTCACTTTGAATATATATATATATATATATATATATATATATATATATATATATATATATATATATATATATATATATATATATATACACTTACGATTTTAATTATTTAAATCTAATAACAATATTATTCCAAATAGTTTATGTGGTTGAAATTTCACCATTTAAAGGTGATTAAATGAGATATAATAGGTTTTAAATCCAGACTCTTATCCTTACACAACTGTGTACTGAATTTATTTAATGGAACTCATATACTTATTTATTACCTATAAGGAAGATATTCTGAACTTCCTCTTGGATGTAATCACTCGAAAACACGTTTTTTTTTACAATAATTTGGAAAACGTTAAAATTTAAAATGCACGAGAAAGCTAAAATCATCTTTATGACATATGATATATTTACAAGACATAAATCTCATTGAAATCTATGTTTTCTTATTGATTGTACGCTTACACAACGAGTCTTGCTTTATTTCTTAAAACATTTCTATTTTTGTTAAGCTTTTTGCAAAATATTCATTTTTAAATTTTGTTCTTATGGGGACAAATGTTAGACTAAATGTTTAAGTCAATGTGTTCAACATCTTAATCTAGAATTGACAGATAAGATAAATCAATATGATAACTTATAAAGTAATAAAAGAATAACAAGAGTTGTTAACTCATTTCAATGCAAACAACACCTATTATGTCTGGGGGACTTCCAACCCAAGAAAGGAAATTCACTTTTCAATAGAATTAGTATAAAGTGTCTTAGATGAACAATCACATGTTCAATGTCCCTCTTCTTTATTCTACCAGTGTATTTTTATTTAAGATTTTGCTTAAATATGAGAATCACACTCACTTTCTCTTAATCACTAACCTTACCGATCACAACAATAATCAGAATATTGAATGTTGAATTACAACTCAACTAACAGAGCAAACTATATGCTTTTTAATATGAATGTAGGCGCTAGAGTGGTGGACAAACAACAACACAAAGAAAGACTCAAAATATAAACCCTAACACACAAATCTTTAACATTTACACACTTCAAGCGTTAGGTTTGAGTCTTCTTAAATAACAATGAAAGCTTTTGGACTTTTCTCCAATGGGCATAAGATTTGTCACCTTCAGATTTGTAGTAAATTCTATTTTTATTTTTTTGAACAACCTCAAAAAATATTTGATTTGTTTGAATTCAAATTTAAATCTTTAACTGATTTGATTTGATCCTTTTAATTTTTCAAAAAAAAAAAATCTAATTAAATGCATTGCTAAAAGATAGTTACAAATCTGATTGAACCCCAATCAGAAAATACGCTCAGAATAACAACACCAATGACCTGCTGACAAAGGTCATATGTTGCACACTTACGGAACATATGGTCCCACATGTATCCTTTCTTCACCAAAATATATTGTACACTCCATGTTGTGTTGCATAATGCAACAAATCTAAAAGGAACAACAATCTTTCCCTTTGACAAATTTCGGCAAAACAACTCTTTCACAACTTACAAGATGTGCAAAACATATTAAAGCAACATAAGCACACCACAAACAAACACACAGAGAAAACAATAGCAGCATAAGTAAAACAACTCATAAATCATAAAATCTCGTTGCTACATCAAAACAAATAATGCTCCCATACAACAGGTACACAATCAATCTTGCATGCACTCAATTAGTAGCCAGTTAGGTCAGTCATCACGCACCATAACTACTACACATTAAGCATTAAAATGTTAGAACATCAGACTTCACACACACAATCAGTATATCAACTTACACATGCTCAAATGTCAAATGTCAGGTCAGATGCTCCAGAATGTGTGCAACCCTTCATCACACAAACTAAACAATGCTTCCCAAACACGGTTAGTAGTTATGTTACTCAGAGCACACGTTACTACCACCACTCCCCTTTTTTCCGCAATTTGAAAAAGATATTGAATGAAGTAAACCAAATCAGAGGGTATCAAACAATTCATTCAGTTTCAACCACTAGGTGCAAAAAAGAGACTCATACATTGTTAGTGGCAACAAAATCATAAAACCATATAAATACCAACTGGAGTGACTAAAATCATGGTTAAAATGCAGAAGTCAAAATTAGTCGGAGAATACAAAATATAGTGAATAAAATTGATATTACTACTTTATTAAAATAATTATTTATGAAATTTATAAATAAAATATAATTATAGTAAGAAATAATTAAAATTTAATTATATACTTAAGTTTGGTAACGTAGTCTCATTTCCTTCTTTTTATGAAGGTCTATTTTAATAAATTTTAACTAAAAAATTCTTAAATACACCTTAAGGTGCATGTTTTTAAAACACACAACCGACCCAATACAAAATGAGGCTCAAGGCGATTCTACAATAAAATTTAATGTATAAATAATTAAATTTTATTTATTGAACTTTAAGTTCCAAAATCATTGTCTCTCTAAATGTACACGCACTTTGCAGTGATATATTTCGAATCGATGATATAACATATATTCAATATTACCAGTGAAATTTAAGTTATTAGACAATTAGACTAAAAAAATTAATTTTTTAATTAAATTTTCTCTTTAATTTTACTTAATGTATTTTTTTAATCAATAATAAAAGTAATTTATTTCATCTTTATTAAGATAATGTTGCTCTTAAATAAGTTTTATTAATTTTAATATTATTCTTATTCTTATTATTATTATTATTATTATTATTATTATTATTATTATTATTATTATTATTATTATTATTATTATTATTATTATTATTATTATGAGTTTTTTTACATAATATGGTAAAACAATAAAGCTTGAATATTTGTGTTTCTAGTATTTTTTTATTTTTTTTTTGATTTTCTCTTTAAATGGAATGATGGCCATTAAAAAGAATGCACTGCAATATCATTAAATGCAGTTTTTAGCTTGCTACAATATCATTCAGTTTGAAAACTAAAGTGGCACAATCTCACAAGCGTGTGTGTCACTGATGCTCTAATTAAAAGATATATATTAATTAAAAGATATATATTAAAAGATCAAAATGTTACATTATTATCCTGTTAAAATAATTTCGTCTTCAAAATTAGAAATAATTTTTTAATATAATTCCCTAATTAAATAAATTCAAAAAATAATAAAATCACTTTTTATATAAGCTAAAGTTAAAATTATATACAGCGCAAATAATATATTTATAATAGTAGAGAACTCTTACCTCTTACATTATTTCTATCAAAAATATTTTTGTCCTTCAAGCTAAAAGGTTGTCACGAGAAAAGACAACACTTGTGAAACATCTAATGTATAATTATTCAATTTTTTTAAATATTTAAAGCTATGATAGTTGAATAAAAATTTATATAATATATATTTAATTTAAAACAAAATACTTGGATAAAATAAATTATGTCGTAAAAAATTTGTTTGCACAAAATTATTGTAAAATAAAATCACTTTATAAGAGAAGGAGAAAATATATTTTAGAACATAAATATTAAAATAAAAAACTGATAGTGAATAGTTAATTCAAATCGTTGGCCACCTACTCCTTTGATTGGAATGTTCAATTAACTTTGCATACTCTAATAGTTGGTAAGATCGATTTGTTCTTTTCATTATAATCTTGCCTAATATCAACAAAAGGTTGATTTGGATCACCTCTCGAGTTGTCAATAGTTAGCCAACAATTATAACAATGATATAGACCATCCCAACTCGACAGTCATAATATTTTCTACAACTTATATTCTATTAGCCTTTAACTCATGTGATTCGTGCTCTTCCTGAAACAACGTTACTGATCAAAACTATGGTCAATATTCTACTTAATTGTGTTAAATGTAATTCATTGTTTTGATTTGATTTGATATGATTAGATTTGATTTGAATATTTTGGACCTTTTATGTTTTGGACTTTTGTAAACCTAAAACTATAAATAGGGTGTCTTGCTTTGTATTCAATCACAACAACATATAACAGATTTCACAGTTGCAGTTTGAGAAAGTGAAAGTTCTATAAGCAATAAGAAATCCCACAGTTGTGGGTAACACATTCTCTCCAAATATTTCTTCTCTCATTCTTCTCTTTCTTGATTGTTCTTCTTTCTCTTTTGTTGTTCTTGATAATTACTTGTTATTACCATTACTATCATATTATGGGTTTGTTCATCAATCTTGAGATCAAGATTGAAGAGAATTC